AAAAAAAAAAAGTAAAGCCTTATGTCTAAATAAGTTATGTTCCAAATTTGAAGTTGATATGAAAAAAATGTATGTTTCTGTGAGATTTTATTTAAGCCACAAACAGCCACCAGGTGCCATCAAAACTCTATTGAATTTTTTTAATGCATTTTCTGTCACAAGTGTCTAGATTTCTCTGTCAATATTACAAAATACAATTCGCTTTGGATAAAAGCGTCTGCTAAATGCATACATTATACATTATTATTACATTATAATATGACACTTGACACCGCCCACTAAGGGGGAGGAGACAGCCAAAACATTGTAAAGTACCATTTCCATGGTAACGCAATGTCCGATTTCAAAATGGTTTTCACAAAAATATTTGATAGAAAAAAAGGACAATAAAATAAAAGAGACGGTGACAGTTAAGGGGTTAAGTAAAGATCATGTTCCATGAAGATATTTTGTAAATGTCCTACCGTAAATATATCAAAACTTAATTATTGATTAGTAATATGCATTGCTAAGAACTTCATTTGGACAACTTTAAAGATGATTTTCTCAATATTTCGATTTTTTTGCACCCTCAGATTCCAGATTTTCAAATAGTTGTATCTCAGCCAAATATTGTCCTATCCTAACAAACCATACATCAATGGAAAGATTATTTATTCAGCTTTCAGATGATGCATAAATCTCAATTTCACAAAATTGACCCTTATGACTGGTTTAGTGCTCCAGGGTCACACATGTCAGTATGTGAGTGATGTGTTAATGCTGGTGATATCGGTGACTGACCGGTGAAGGTGAACTGGACGGCGCCCCCGATGGCTGCAGATGGAGCTCCGCGGCTGTAGCGTCCGCTGGCTGAGATGCTGAAGGTGGGGTGACGGCAGACCGGGTCAGAGAAGTGCTCGTACTGTCCGGTCCAGGTCTGGCTGTCCTCGTGGAAGGTCAGCTGTCGGGTGAGGAAGAGGACTCCCGGACGCACCTCACACCGCGTGCTCACCCAGTCTCCCTGCAGACGCACCGGACGCTCGGGCCGAGCTGACAGCACCGGAGGATGATGAAGATCCGCCGAAGACACGATCCGACAGACTCCACAGCGCTCGGCCTGAAAAACATCATCTGAAACTCACTCTTCATCTTCCTCGGGCCTGTACCGTGATGCTAGTTAAACTAATTCAGAGTTACAGGATTAGTCTCCAGTTGACAAAACCAAACCACTCCAATCTGGCTTTGTTGGTACTAGCCATATCAAATGTTCATGTTGCGATTAATTGCTATTGCTTTTATCACGGTGTACGGTATTATCGCGGTATTCGTTGCAAAAAAGAGTTGTCATATACCAGGTTTTTCATATAACAGAGAACTGAACATTTAAATGCAATAAAGCAATACACAAAAAATGTACACAGATTTCACACAGATTAAAGTGCATAAGAATTATAAAGACCAATAGGTAACACTTTACAATAAGATCTCATTAGGTAACCTTAGTTAATGCATTAACATTAACAATAGCTACATTTGCTACACAAGTTATTAATCTTTGTTACAAAATACAACTGATAGTTCATGTTAGCTCAGGTCCATTAAATAATGCAGTTACAACTTTTGGTTTTAACAACGTGCTATTACATTTTGAAATTACAAAAGATTAATGAATGTTTAGAAGAATTTTTAATTGGCAGTTCGTTAACTAATGAATTAACTAATGGAGCCCTAATGTAAGGTGTGACCGAACGATAAAGAATCAAAATATTTTCAAACAATATCTAGGGCATGTTGTAGTCCGATTAAAATGTAACAAAGTTTGAAAATAAATAGCTTATTGAGGGCCAGTTTTACTAAACAGGGCAAATTAGTGCAAGAGCAATTCCAACGCAGATGGGTGTGGACGTTTCTGCGGGTGATTTACTAACAACGCACAAATTAAAGAACACAGACGCAACATCTCATTTACATATCGGCCAACGCCATATACCAAGCGCAGCGCAAGTTAGCATAGTCGCGAATAAAGAATAAAGAAGCCACAGTACAATGAAAAAAGAACCAGAGGCCAAAATATGAAGGTTTGCTAGAGGTTTTGATAGCTTGAAGTTTCCAAGTCGTCTTTTATTTCCTAAAGCAAATTAAAAATAACATGGCTTGGCAAACGATAATGTGTTCTTCTGGCATTCCAAATAAATTAATACGTGTGGAAAAAATCCTCTCCCTTCTACCACGTGCTCTTAGCAACAATAATTGCAGCCATTTCAAGCGCAAAATAGTTTGACCTGCTTTTTTTGGGCGTTAAATAATGGCGCAAATGCCTGGAATTTGTCGAGCGCAAATGTTAGTAAATCGCGTTGCGTGATTCATTTTAATACTCTCCTCCCATAAATTTTGCGTCTGAAATGCATATTCAATAAGGTCAGGCGCAAAAATAACTGTGTCCATGCCGTTACAGCGCTAATTCCTCACTGCGCGTCTTTAGTAAAACCTGACAGTAATATTTTAACGCCAAAAGACGGTTTGCGCTGGCGCAAGCTGTTAGTAAAACTGGCCCTATGTCTAAATATTGAAGTATTTGGCGCTGTGATGAACACCATAGCGAACACACAAATCTGAACGGCTGCATTTCTGCTGTTCCATCAGCGCCATCTGCTGTCAGAGAAAAGTACTGATGGGAAAAGCATTCTTAAAATGCATTCAAAAAATCTGAATAATGTGTAATAGGCTAAATAATTATTCACGGTATTTTTAAGTGCCCACGATAACTATCGTGAAATATCGCATTACCGAATGTCTAGTTGGTACCGTGATGCTGAACATCAACTTTCTTTGTCAACTCTGCCTTTGACTCGAACATGCTAGGTCACATGTAGTCATTTTTAAAGAGTTATCTATTGATTCTACAGCTGATTTATATTACATATGATCTGTTTATTATATATATACTGTTTCAATTAGAAACACATCTTGCAGAAGTTTTTCTTTTTATTTGTATAATTTGTTTGTCATATATTTGTATATATTCTGTCATTTATTTGTATATTATGGAAACCTGCTTCCATCACAGGTAAGGTGATGCAATTTAATAAAAAAAAAAACATATCGCAATTTTGACTTCATATCGCAATTTTGACAATATTTTGCAATTCTGACTTTACATCATAATTTTGACTTATTGCAAATTTTTACTTTTGACTTTATATCTTGCAATTTTGACTATATCACGTAATTTTGACTATATTTTTCAATTCTGACTTTACATCACAATTTTGACTTTATATTGCAAATCTGACTTTATATTACCATTTTGACAATTCTGAGAAGAAAAATCAAAATTTTGAAAAGAAAAAAGGTCTGAATTGTGAGATATAAAATTAGATTTGCAACAAAAAAGTCGGAACTGTGATATAAAAAGTTGCAATTAATAATTTTAATAAAGAATTTTTTATTTTTTGCCTTAGTATATATTTTTGGTTTACCAGAGGGAATAAAAACCAAAGAACAAAGGGGTATGAGACAGACTATTACAAAACCAAATATCCATGAGGAATGATACAAATATCTGAAAACACTGAATCCTGATTGAAAAACTTTGACGCCGAAGCGGTTGGTGTCTTTACTGCTGCTGTGAAGCAAACAGTGTTGTAAGAAGCGCTATATAAATAATCTTGACCTGACATATTAAACTGGTTAATCATACAGAGGTTATCGATGAGCATCAGCACAGAGAAGCTGATTCTGCTTCACACAGACGTCCGTGCCATGCAGCCGGAAGGATCCAGATTATTCAGCACATCTGAATCTGATTTAGCTTTGGAGCAAACACAAACAAAACCCTTCCAATACAAGCAAGAACTAAACCAGCAGAGCAGGTCACCAGTAACCGATGGGTTCATAGACTCATCTGTAGAGTATATTAACCTCACACACATCAGAGCCAATCTGATAAAGACTGACGTATGCCATTTCTACATCTGTAGCTCACCCCACTGCTAAAGAATGATCCATTTTGGCTTTGCAATGCATTTTTATGTATTTGATGTAAATATATTTTTACATTCACATTTATGCATTTGGTAGACGCTTTTAACCAGAGTGACTTACACTGCATTTAAGCTATGCGTGTTATCAGTTCATAAACCCATGGTGCATGTTCTACTGCTTTACAATTACTTTGTTCTTTTTTACAAAACAAATGTGCAATAAAGTAACGTTATACATTCTTAAACACACTTGTGCTGGAAACAATGTGATATAATGCACTGATTGGTTTGTAGTCAACACATTCTTGATGATGCATCCACATTGTTTTGTTTTACTTTATGGCCTGGTTTCACAGACAGGGCTTAGACTAAGCCAGGATTCGGCCATAGTTCAATTAGGACATTTAAGTATTTTTTATTAACGAGCCTTAGAAAAAAACATTACTGGTGTGCATCTTGAGACAAAATAAAGGCACTGATATATTTTAAGATCAATCAGTGCCAGTTTCTTTCAGCTGAAACAGCCCAGACTTACATTTTAGTCTGGGACTAAGCTTAAGCCTTGTCTGTGAAACCGGGGAAAGTGTTTTTGTGTTAAGTGTTTTTAACTTAAAATGTTAACATTTTAAGTTTAGTCAACCTGAAATATGAAGAATTTTTGAGTTCTCTCAAAAAATTCAATCCAGGAAAGTTAAATTTTTTTTTACAGTGTATCATAAGCCATTTTTCTTGTTATAAACTTGGGAAGCGTCAGTCGAAAAAGTGTCAAAAACTAGAGACTGATTTCAACAAAAAGTAATTTATGATAACATTATGTTGGTGACAAACCAGGAGAATTTGTAGAAAATAATAGAAAGTTAAACCAGGATTATTATAGTTAACTATATAAAACTAAAACCATAAAAAACATTTTAGCAAAATAATAAAATAGAAATATAAAATGGAAAAAACATTTTATTTCAGCTAGTTTCCAAGGCATTTTTGTTTAGTTTAACTTCTCAAATAAAACTAAATAAAATAAAACAAATAAATAAAAAAATGTGAATAAAAATGACAAATTTACTAAAACTTTAACTCAAATTAAAGTGAAAACATTAAATCTAAAATTTAAATCTAATTTAAAATATCAACAGAAACTAACTCAAATTAAAGTGAAAACATAAAATCTAAAAATAAAATCTATTTTAAAATATCAACAATGATTTATCAACGATACAAAAGTAACGCTACGCTAATCGTTCAAGTTTGCAAGGCATAAAGTTGCGTGTCCAGATCAATCCGGCAGCGCAGCACAGAAAGCCTTTAGAGAAGTTAAAGAGTGGAGAGCAGCTGACACAGTTCTGAATCATAATTCTGTCATCGCCACTTCAGAGCCCGGCGTCCCTCGATTACAGAGCGGCTCTGATTTAATCTCAACCAATCAGAGAGCTCCTCTACACGAGTCGCCCGGCCATCAATAATTCAGGCCGAACTAGAATGCATTAACATTGCATTACATGTTTCCCGGGCTCTTTGCACACATGAAAGAAATGAATCCATCAGAAAAAGCTCATCTCGGATCCACAGCGCTGGCCTTCACAAACACGGTTTCTACATTACCTTTGAAGCAGACACGGCTCAAATCACACTCTTTAACCCTTACACTGCCACTCCCAGCTTTCAACACAGACGTCAAAGTGCACTGTCCAAACTTAAACGGTTATAATAATTCATGAACGAAAACATTTTGCGATGTTATTTTGATGTGCCATTTCCATGCAATGCAATGTTTGTGACAAAGGTCAGAACTCCTGTTACGATGTAGATTTTTGAGGTGCTCTCTTGTCATAAATGAATCTTTCCAACGATATATAGTTTGTCATTAGATTAGGATTTATTAGTAATATAGTGAAGCTGAAGGAATGGGTGACAGGTAAAGGTTAAGAAACGCATGGGTCTGGTCTCAGAGAGAGCTCTGGATGAATGCATGACAGCCGGCGGCTCGCATTAATTAATCACAGACGATGTCACTTCCCAAATTAAGTACAATGTTATGTATTATACAGACTTGTACTTCAGCGAACATGGCACTTCATGAATTAATCATTCTTCTGTCGAAAGCTTCATGTATTTTTCAGCTTCGCCAGGTTTTATTGTAACGCGTCTGTCGTCGTGTGTTTCTGCGTTCGGCTCCTTTGCTTTTTAGACACGTGTGTGAACTGGAAACAACACAGACGATGCACGGGAACCATGCTGCGATCTAACGAACAACATCATGATGCTCTTAAACACATACAGTATGTGATGATGAAGTTTAGCTCATAATTCACATGAACTCAAATGCATATACAGGTGCAAATTATCTGTGTCCCTGGAGCACAAAAGCAGTCTTAAGTAGCACAAGGTACATTTCTCTTTTATGCCAAAAATCATTAGGATATTAAGTAAAGATCATGTTCCATGAAGATATTTAGTAAGTTTCCTACCGTAAATATATCAAAACTTAATTTTTGATTAGTAATATGCATTGCTAAGAACTTCATTTGGACAACTTTAAAGATGATTTCCTCAATATTTAGATTTTTTTGCACCCTCAGATTCCAGATTTTCAAATATTGTCCTAATATTGTTAGAAATATTATCCTAACAAACCATACATCAATGGAAAGCTTATTCGCAAGCAAGTTCGAAACATTGACCCTTATGACTGGTTTTGTGGCTCAGGGTCACATATTTGTTTACTAAACTAATTCAGTTCTTTCAGGAGCTTCAGATCAGAGCTTCTCAAAGGCCCCCGGTTTGGGGTTCAATCTAGGATATTAAAATAAGTAGCTAAAATAATTATATTTGAAATGAAAATGATTAAGTTTTAGGATTCCAGGAGTTTTAGGAGCTGACTGCTCCTCAGGGTTTTTACTCTTTTTAATTAGTGAATTTACTAATCATTTAAAGTCATCTTGAACCCCTGCGTGCTTTAGTTTCAGAGCTTTTTAATTCATTCATTCAAGTGTGTCCAAACTTTCAACTTTGACCATCCAACACGTATTTTTATAAATAATAATAATAGTTTTCAATCATCACCTAATTAAAATAAAACATTTTCAGTTGTTTATCTTGATTTTTAGTTGTTTTAGTGAATTTTAATGCTTGTATTGTCTTATTTTAAATCATTTCTTGAAAGAATAATGAATTCAAATAAAGCATGCAGATTTGAGTTGTTTTACCAAGTTTAAATACATCTTTTGTCTCATTTTAAATAATTTGATGACATATTTCTTTGTGAAATGGGATGTTGATTGAAACGGCGATTGATCAAACTAAGCAAGTTATTTACATGCATTAGAAAGTAAATGATTTCAAGTTGACTTCACAGTTTTATTCAACTGCTTACACACAAAATCTTTACTTGTTTCCGATCTTGCTTTCGTGTTTGCCATGAATCTCTCAGCCAATAACTTTCAATCTTGTACAGAAATGTACACAGGAGCTCATGAAAGAAGAGCTTTAGGTTTTGAATAACTGTGTTTATTATACAGTCAAACCAAAATGTATTCAGACACTTCAGCATTTCTCACATTATCTCACAGTTTATTGGCTGTAGTTTAGAAAACGGTACTAAAATATGAGAAGAGTTCGGAGTTAAACTGAGTCAGAACAAACTCATCTTGATAATGTCAGATAACTTTGATAGAAAAGTATGTAATGAATTCTGTTGAATAGCTGTCAGCTGTTACATTTAAGAACACAATTAGATAAAACCAATTTAGCTCAACTAATTACCAAGCAGTGCTTCATTTAGTTCAGTCTGTGGAGTAAAAAGATCACATTAGCAATTAAAGAAAAACACTTCAGCAAAACATGCTCAGCTCAAAGTGTCTGAATCATGTTTGATCCGTTAGTCCACCGTATGAAGAGTTTTTGGGTATAATATCACACTTCACTTTATTTTGCTCTCCTCACTTACATAAATGAACTACAGTGTCCTGCACCCACTAGTAAAAAATATCAAAAATTAATCTGGTGTCTGAATCATTTTTGGTTTGACTGTATATCCAAAAATATAATATTATGGCAAAGGTGTTTGCAACGCAAGACAAATGTTTGCTTTTGAGATGTGTTTGTGATATTTTGAATGCAGTGCTTCGTTTTGCAAGAGATGTGATGCATTTTGCATTTTGTGTGCAGTTCTTGGATTTGTGTGTGAATGTTTTAAAAAAAGAAGCAAAGTTTGAAAATGTGTGTAAGCACTAGAGAGCGCATTGCACTATATTCTATTCTGAGTGCTCCTCACTCTGGGTTAATATTAATGCCCCGCGCCGGGCCGGAGCGCATGCATATGCAGCAGCGCAGACGTCTGCGTCCTGACCTTGGCGCTCCGCAGGGGGCTCTGGTATCCCGCGGGCTGAGCGTGCTCCGTGTGAACGTCTCCCAGGAACAGCTCCTCGGCCCGGAGCTCCAGGCGCATCAGCGTCAGCTCCTGCATGCTGCGGTCCGGAGCCGGTGTGTCCGGCGGGTCGCAGGCCGTCTGCAGGCACCGCAGCTGGACGCGGCTCACATGCACCTCGCTCGCCGTTCCTCCACGCACCAGCCACGAGGCCCGCAGCGGCCGCACGCTGCCCCGGATCAGCAGGCTGTAGCTGGGCTTGCTGCAGTCAGGGTCCTGGTAGTAGAACTGCAGCGCCTGGAAGCTGCCGTCGGGGAAGAAGCGGTAGGAGCGGGTGAGGAACTCCGGACCGGGTCGCACCTCGCAGCTGCAGTCACAAGAAGAACGCTTTATACAGCAGGGCGTCAAACTCAGTTCCTGGAGGGCCCAAGCACTTCAGAGTTTAGTTCCAACCCTGCTCCAGCACACAGACCGTGTAGTTTGCAAATAAACCTAAATTACATGATTAGCTGGATCAGGTGTGTTTAATTAGGTTTGGAGCTAAACTCTGCGGGGCTGACACCCCTGCTTTATAGTTAGTTCACCCAACAATTAAAATAAACTCTTGTTTTACTCACCCTCAAGGCATGCTAGATGTATATGACTGTCTACTTTCAGACGAATCCAATCGGAGTTATATAAAAAATTTTCCTTGCTCTTCCAAGTGTTTGAATGGCAGTGAATGGGTGTTTTCGTTCAACAGTCCAAAAGAAGTCAAATAAAGCATGTGCATCCATAATAAAACATGCCTCACACGGCTCCGGGGGTTGGATAAAAGCCTCCTGAAGCGAATCCATGCGTTTTTGTAGAAACAATATCTATATTTAAAACTATATTGTTAACAGGAGCAAAGGAAGCTAAGTTTCCTTACTTTAGCAAAGGAAAACCAGTCTCCCCTTGGCTTGTATCGAAATCCTCCGACATTTTTCTTTACAAATCCTCGTTTTGTTCTTCTAATTCGTGACGGGTGTTGTGTTTTGTTCTCTCCTCTGCGCTTCCGCGTTCTTCACGAATCACCAGATCTTACGCTACACATACGTCCTCCGTCATCCGCCGGAACGGCTTCAGTGTACAACAGTCAGCAGAAGTGAGAGAAAGGTGCTTATAATGTTTTAAATATGGATATTTTTCTTACAAAAACGCATGGATTCGCTACAGGAGGCTTTTATCCACCCCCGGAGCCGTGTGAGGCATGTTTTATTATGGATGCACACGCTTTATTGGACTTATTTTGGACTGTTGAACGAAAACACCCATTCACTGCCATTATAAAGCTTGGAAGAGCAAGGATAATTATTAATATAACTCCGATTGGATTTGTCTGAAAGAAGAAAGTCATACACATCTAGGATGCCTTGAGCGTGAGTAAATCATGGACTAATTTTAATTTTTGGGTGAACTAACCCTTTAAAGGCACAATATGTAAGTTTTCGCCGCTAGAGGTTGCATTTTCCAAACAATAACAAAGGTGACGCTTCATGATGCTATGAAAGAGGATGTTCACGTATTTTTTACCTGTTCCTTCCACGGTTATTCAAACAGCGAATATACAGAGAAAGCGAGCAAAGAACATTTACGTTGTCAAAGAACATTATGACTGACTTCAGTTTAAGCACTCTCAAAAAACTCCCCTTATAATCAGTAAAGCTGTCTATACACGGTTTGACTGAATGAATCTACTCATTGATTAGGATGAATTTGAGTTTGAGTCACCTGTTGGACACCCAGTGTCCGGTGATGTTGGGCGGTGTGTGAACGGTCACCTGCTGTCCATGAAGCTGTTTGAGTCTGGAGTGACACCTGTTCCTCTGGTCCAGAAGAACCGGATCAGAACCGAGCACCAGCACACACACGCTCACTGTGAACAAACACACACAACACTCTCTCACACACACACTCTCACACACACACTCTCACTCACACACACTCTCTCTCTCACACACGCACACACTCTCTCTCTCACACACGCACACACACACACACACCATAATCATCAGAGACGGTCAGTGCATGACTGAGAATTGCCTGATCAACATCTTCATTCAAACCGAATCTTCAAATCTCACACATTTGATTCAGTCAGTGGCAAATGATTCCTTTACGCCCCCCTACAGACTCGCAAACACACCTTTCTACCGGAATATTAATATTCAAGGCATAACAACCACATAGTTACTCACCTGAAGAAAACAGAATGACGAGAGAATAGAAAGACAGCATTTTCACAACAAATCCTCTCACAAAAAAAACAGAGAAAGTTTCGCGTAACCGACGATTCTCGTGAAGATGTTAAACGCGTTAAAGTTTCACACCCGCTCTGTAAAGAATAAATGTGATTTTCCTCGTCGTTACATCCTCAGAATCAGCCTTTAGACTCCAGAAAGAGCGTAAATGCAGAGGAAGCAGTGCGAGCGTCATAGCGAGAGCGACACCTTTCATTTCTGACTTCAGTCTGAGGAGAACCTCCGCTTCTAGCGAAGCCTGACTCGCGAACGAGCCGTTCGTTTGAACCGATTCTTTTAATGACTCGGTCAAAACGAAAATCAATCCACTGAGCGGAATCACTTTGTTAGAAGCAAAACTGTGAGATGGGAACAATATTGTGGACTATAATTGGAATAATTCATATTACTGTTATTAATAAATAATATTATTAACTAGGAAAAGTATTGCTAATTTTGTTTTAACAATAACATCCCTTACGATAATTAACCATGTTTTTATCGTAGTAAAATCAATGTTTGTTTTTGGCGTATTGATTACCATTTGCATAACCAAAGTTTTACTACAAATACCATGGTTAAACTATGGTTAGTGTAGCAAAACCATGGTTAATTTGTGGTTACCATGGTTTAACTATAGTAAGCATGGTTTTTTGGTTTTATTTGTAGTAAAACCATGGTTATTTTTCGAACACGATATTTAAAATAATCTATATAACCTAATTAAAAACGTAGTTACAAGCTGCAATATGACTACAGAGTATTTTAAAAGACACATTTGAGTGATAAATCAAAGGGTTCAGTGACGATCCACTCTATGAACACGTTCATCTAAAAAGAATCGTCCAAATGAACCGATTCGCTCAAATGAATCGCGCTTCTCCCCCGCGGAGCGCAGTCGTGGGCGCGCTCTCTGATGGATCGGACCGCAGCAGGACTCGGATTCAATTACCATGATCTTATGAGTCACTGTGTGTGTGTGTGTGTGTGTGTGTGAGAGAGAGAGTGTGTGTGTGTGTGTGTGTGTGAGAGAGTGAGTGAGTGAGTGTGTGTGTGTGTGTGTGTGTGCGCGTGTCGTGATCAGCGCAGGTACATAAGAGCAGGTGTGTGTGTCTGTGATGATAAGTTTCACATCATGACATGTACAGTGCAGGAGTTTGACTCTGGCAGCAGAAGCAGAAATTAAGACGTGATTCTGTTCTGACTGTAAGCTGTTTCAGATCGTATGAATTTTTTACTCTTCTCTTGTATTTCATTTTAATGACATGCGACTTTTGAAACAATTAGGCGACTCGCATGAAAGCAGTTTATCACACAGCCAGTCATTAATTCACTAATGAATATCATGCACTTTCTATCTTATGATATGATCGAACTGTACTATGCAATACCATGTTTTTGCACATGGCATCATGGTAATACTGTGCTATTCTCGTATTAGTGCAACTGGAGAATGTTTTGCTATAACGTTGCCATTAAATTGTGAAAATGTTATTTCTTAATGTTTACTGAGCATTCAAAACATCCTATTTAAATTCTTTTCATTTCATGCATTAAGGGAACATTTAATTGTATCACATTTATCACACATTATGGGAACATTAAATGTTCTCTGGACGTTCTGAAACAAACAAAAAAAAAACATTCCATAAACGACATATAAATGTTTTTGTGCTAATGTTTTGAAAACATTATAAAGACCAGATAATAACTTTGAGAGAACCTTGTCGGAACGTTCCGTTAGCTGGGTAAATATTAAAATACATAGATATAGAAAACATATCAACAAAACAGATCAGATTTTTGGAGTATGTTTTACAAGAAAATACTATTTCAGTCTTTCTACTTTGAAACTTCATGTTAAAGTTGCTGTTTCTTTGTTATTAATTGCAAAATGTTCTAGTAATTTCTGAGTGAAAATTGTTTCTACACCGTTTTTCTTTCAGTGTAGCAAAATATCACTTACAAAAAAAGTACTAAATTTGACCATGGTATTTGGAGACAGGAGTACCACGGTACAGTAAAAATCTAAGTACAATACGGTATTAAAAAAAACGTTTTGAAGTTGTAAATACAGGTATTATTGTATTGGTGGCACCTTTAAGAACATACTATTTTTTTTAGTGCCGTCAAACGATTAATCGCGATTAATCGCATCCAAAATAAAAGTTTTTGTTTACATAATATATGAGTGTATTGTGTATATTTATTATGTATATATAAATACACACACATGCATGTATATATTTAAGAAAAATGTAATGTTTATATATTAAATATAAATTATATGAATATAAACATATGCATGTAAATATTTTCAAAATATATACTGCGTGTGTATTTATATATACATAATAAATATAAACAGTAAACATTATGTAAACAAAAACTTATTTTGGATCACGATTAATTGTTTGACAGCACTAGTATTTTGAAAATCATCTTTAATTCAATGTGTTGCCATTTATGTGCAATTTTTTATTTTACATCATTTGTTAAACCTACTAGCAATTTCTGAGAGGAAATTGTTTCAGTGGCATCTCTTTTCAATGCAAGGTCAAAACAAAACGACTTGAATCTTACTATAGTTGCCTTCAGACTGAGAGCTGGTTACTGTAACCGTGCTTTAAACGCGGATGTTAAGGAACGCTGTAATGGCCTGCCAGAGTGTTCAGTTACTGCTCATCTTTAATTCATGCGCCTGTTCTTCACAGATCTCCATGAGGAGGGCGATTTGTTTTGCTGAAGCGGATCTGTGACGCGTGGCTCAGCTGTGGCTTATTTGGTTATTTGTCATTTAGCAGATCTTTTCTCATAAGGCTCCTCGAGCCTGAGATCAGTCTGAGATTATCAGACGCTCGTCTCTCGTTGGATAAGACCACAATATACGTGTTAAGATGAGAGGAAAACAGCAAACACTTCACTCGTCTGCAGGAGCAACACACGGGTCAGGAACAGAGCTGAGGCCTTAAACAGCACTCGGGAAAATAGAAGCCAACCTGTACACCAGATTTAAGCTTGCATGTGATTTTGCTGAGAATCATATTTGATGCATCAGGCTTTATGGCTCATATGGAGCTCGATTTTATTCAGAGACTTGCATTTGCTGCAGATGCTGATATTTCTGTGATTAAACTCTGCTGCTTGTAATGTAAATCAGTGAGATCTTTCTAACAGTATAGAGCAGATACTGAGATAAAATGATCTAAATATCAGTCATCACTCTATATCTCCAGTAATCTGTCTCAGTGAGATGAGATTGAAATGCTCCAAACATATAATGCAGTGATTGAGAGCTGAAGAAATAAAGGCTCCTCAGAAGATGTGAGATGTTCTGGAGGCTTGTGAAGATCATTCCTCCGCTGAGGAACAGTGAAAGTAAAGCTTCTGGAAACAAACGCTCCTCAAAAGATCCTGAGGATCAGATTTGAGACTCTAAAACATGATTGATGGAGAATCAAGTAAAGCTGAGCTGCTTCAGTCCAGTAAGTGTTCATCTGGAGATATTACTGCAGTTATTCTGACCTTTACTTGATCAAAATCAGTCAAGATTTGACACGAGAAGCTCCAGCTGAAGCTGGACGCTTGTACAATTACACTAAAAGAGCTTTTACTGGATAAAACACTCTAAACTATCAACCAGAGACCGGTTTAACAGCAGAGTTTGATGATTTAAAGGCCTTATGATATGATACAGAGGGATTTAAACATGTTTTCTGCTTGTAGTTTTATAGGCTGAATTTCCAGCTCATGCTTCACTCCACAAATCAATACAAAATGAATAAATGAATGAGCTTTGATGGTGAAACACGAGCTGGCCTAGAGGCCCAGGCCCAGAGTTTCGCTTCTGACAGCATTTCATCCCTCCGTAAGGAGCAGAAACAGCTCGGTGCCGTTCAATATTCAGTGGCAGACTGCCACGACACTCTCACGCTCGCAGAGAAACTCACTTTCATAAGGCAGAATCAAACGAGCGCACACTTTCGTCCGTCTCCAAATGACATGCTTAATTCAGTTGTGCTCTGCTCGTCTCGTTTTAAACCGATTCCCCATAAATGTAACGTCTGGAGACGGAACAAAAGGTTTTAGTTTAAGAAATGGTTGCACGCCTCCAGCTGAAGCCTCATTTGCACAGTAAGATCACTGAAGATGACAGCGGCGAACCCAAAAGAGTTCTGTTCAGATGGGTCTGGAGTCACTAATGTGGGAAAAATCCTTGTTCGGATCATCTGTGCCGCAGCGGAGAATCGAGCGCTCTAGAAACACAGAAGCAAGATGAAGAGGTCGAGGGAAAGGGAGAACTAGAAGCTGCACACGTTTCATTCGGAAGGTCAATCTGTTTTTCGTGTCTTAGTGCATCTAAAGAAACAAATTTGACGAGACTTGTCTGTCCTTGATGTGAGAAAGCCGCGTTTCCTTCAGAGGAACATCTGATTTGATTTTAGAGTAATGTTTGGAGAAAAGAAATGCCTACAGAAGCTGAATTTGGCACCTTTGGGATCTTGGAATGAAAGCCCTCAGTTATCAGCCTGGAAATGTGTTTTCGGTCTAAAACTCTTGCAGCAACACAATAGGAGATGCATTTTTGGCTTCCTATAAAAAACCTCTCAGCGACCCGTTCTTAAAAGAACCGCGACGAACATTAAGGAAAAGTTCAGACAAAAATGAGAATATGCCAAAAATGGCCATCTGAGATCAGGATGAGTTTGTTTCTTCATCAGGTTTGGAGAAATGTAGCATTGCATCAGTGTCTCAGCAATGGATGCTCTGCAGTGAATGGGTGCCGTCAGAATGAGAGTCCAAACAGCTGATAAAAACATCACAATAATCCACAGCACTCCAGTCCATCAGTTAACATCTGGAGAAGACAAAAGCTGAAACTAATCCAGCATTAAGACGTTTTTAACTAAAACACGAGTCTATAATCCATAATAACGCTCCCTCCAGTGAAAAAGTGAAATCTGCACAGATCAAGCAGCGTTTAAACAGCTCTAAACTAATATGTGGCTGGATTTTGATGTGAGAGACAACAGCAGATGTTTACTTGTGGATTATTGTGATGTTTTTATCAGCTGTTTGGACTCTCATTCTGACGGCACCCATTCACTGCAGAGCATCCATTGCTGAGACACTGATGCAATGCTACATTTCTCCAAACCTGATGAAGAAATAAACTCATCCTGATCTCGGATGGCCTGAGGGCGAGTGAATTTTCAGCTAATGTTCATTTGAGTGAACTATTTCTTTAATAATCCAAAGCACCTTTATTTTTAAGAGTGCGTTTCATTTAAAGCGCAGAGGAACTGTACACACTCTTGAGGGAATGAAGTCACAGACAGTATTCATCATAAGCTACAGCCGTGTTTCTTCTCTGTTCCTCTGAATAAATCAGCTCGTTTAGTTATCTGGTGTTTAACAAGGTTCTCAAAACGTTATTTATACATTGCTCATGGAACGCTTTATTCCTGAAACGTTTTTGTTTGACGTTCATCTAACGTTGTTTGAATGTTCTCTGAATGTTCTGAAACAAGTAACATTCAAAAGTAACGATCAAACCGATGGAATGTTCCCTTTACGTTCACATAACCAGAAAAAGTTAAGACGGTTTAATAATCTGGACGTTTTGAACATTCAGGAATAACATCTGCGTAACAATGTTGTTAGCCGGGAAGCTGCCAGAAACTCAGATTCTGAACAATTAAAGAAGGGGAAGCAGCTGAGCTGAATAAATAAAGTCATTTATATCATTACTCTGTGTCATGGTCAGTTAAAGCACAGCTCAAATACAGAGAAGAACTGGTCAATCTCTGGAAGACTGTGTCTGTCATTCGAGCGGAGATTCAGTGCCAAAACACAGCCATAGGATTTAATTGCCATCTTGACTAATTAACCACATCTGCAAACGACTAGAGACCGATTTCTGAAATCAAGAAAGCATCTGGACTGAAGATCATCTGAGCCAAATTCTGGGAACTTTGTATGGGAAATGGATAAAAAAAAATATATATATATATATATATATAAATAAAATGTAAAAAAAATAAATAAATAAAATAAAAATAAAAAGTAATATAAATAAATAAATACAATGTAAACAAAAATAAATACAAAATAAAAAGTATTGATTCACCAGCACAACGAAACCATCAGCTGCATTACAGTCTAACACTCTTACAATAGCGAAAAATCAAATGCATGAACAAACATTGGTTATAAAGCCAAAGAGTGGGAGGAACTGAACCTGAAGGATGAATGAAACTAATGGACAGAACGGTGTTTCTTGACCGAAACGCTCAAACGAAGAAAGACAACACTGATTTCTGATGTGTGTTTGAGACGCTCGACACTGATCTCTTGAGCGTTTTGTTGCAGTGATAAATGCGATATTAGCAGGTCACGACGCTCCTGCAAACAGACCGCGGATCTCAGAGCACTTATTATTCCCAGCCGTTCCTCTCAGAGAAACTCTAATCCGGCCCAAATCCCGATCTCTCTGATGATCCTCCAGATCTCGACTCTCGCATCACGTTGACATTCTGAGTCACACCTTCAGCCTCATTTAAACCCAGCAGGTAGAAGCGGCTGAAAAAATATTGAAGCCCTGCTATAAAAAACCTCTGCACTATTCTGAAGCGACTTGTATTGAAGCGTTCGAGGCTGATAATGCAAACTAGAGACTGGCAGCTGTCACTCAGAAGAAAGAACAGCGAGCTGATGAACGAGAGGCTTTACTGGAGACGCTAGCATCATTGATTCAAAAAAACAAAACAGCACAAATAATCACACAGCACATCATTAACACAGAAGCACGGGCTGGTCTTCAGAACTGGAAGTTCTCGTCAGTCATGTCGATGGCCCAGGCGAACTTGTCCCTCTGGGTTTTGTTGTAGATCTTTTCAACAGGCACCTGATGTTTCTTACACCTACAGAACAACATCACGCGATTAGAGACGCACATACAGCCAATCAATCAATGCATCATCAGTAGCTGCAGTTTCTCTTTTATGACAGTAAATGATGTTTTTTCCTCCCAAATGGTGCTGGTGTTTTGATGCGCTCAGGTCAAGATCGTACTTACGAGTTTAACGCACATGAATGTTTTTCATAATTGTTTTTATCATTCATCAGCTGGAAAATATACATTCTGAAAGTGATTCCAGTGATCGTTATAGTAGTGTTGTGAACTCCTATGGAGAGTTTTTTTGTTTTTTTTTACTACATCTTAATCATTATCATGTGAAGGGGATTTATACATAGTTTTGCGAACTTATTTTGACATTCAGAGTCATTTAATTCAGTGTTTTATCATTAATAGAGGAAAAACCATTTTGATTGACTGACCAGATTTGATCTGAAACGCAGAATGACAACTCACAGCTCGCTTTGCTTGGAGAAAAATGGGGTCACGATGAGCACCAGCACTCATGACGGTGGAAAAGGACTGTGTGTCTGTGTCTGTGTGTGTGAGAGCGAGAGCGCGAGAGAGAGAGAGAGAGAGAGCGAGAGAGAGCGAGTGAGGTGTGTGTCTGTGTGAGAGAGAGAGAGAGAGAGAGAGAGAGAGAGAGAGAGAGAGAGAGAGAGAGAGAGAGAGAGAGAGAGAGAGAGAGAGAGAGAGAGAGAGAGAGAGAGAGAGAGAGAGAGAGAGAGAGAGAGAGAGAGAGAGAGAGAGAGAGAGAGAGAGAGAGAGAGAGCGAGAGAGGTGTGTGTGTGTGTGTGTGTGTGTGAGAGAGTGAGTGAGTGAGTGAGTGAGTGAGTGTGAGTGTGAGAGAGAGAGCGAGAGAGAGCGAGAGAGAGCGAGAGAGTGAGAGCGAGAGCGTGAGTGAGTGAGTGAGGTGTGTGTCTGTGTGAGAGAGAGAGAGAGAGAGAGAGAGAGAGAGAGAGAGAGAGAGAGAGAGAGAGAGAGAGAGAGAGAGAGAGAGAGAGAGAGAGAGAGAGAGAGAGAGAGAGAGAGAGAGAGAGAGAGAGAGAGAGAGAGAGAGAGAGAGAGAGAGAGAGAGAGAGAGAGAGAGAGAGAGAGAGAGAGAGAGAGAGAGAGAGAGAGAGAGAGAGAGAGAGAGAGAGAGAG